TTAAAATGAAGAACAATTTTAACTAATATAAACTTATGAGTATTTCAGTGGGAAGTGTGGGCCTGCTTTTGGCTGACGAGATAGGATTGTTGTTGTCGTTGTGCTTTCAAGTCATTTCACTCACCGAAAGGCTGAGAAGAGCGGTATACAAAAAGCAAATAAATGAATAATAAATTTCAGACTTAGGCGTATGCGGCCCCCAGGCCGTAGTTTGAGGACCCCTGATCTAAAGGCTGTAGAGCAGGCATGGGCAAACTTTGGCCCGCCAGGCGTTTTGGGCTTGCCCCATTCCTCACAGCCTCCGGCCCCTTCCTTTTGCTTTTCCTTTCCGCTTAAGCCGCTGAGGGGAAGAAGGAAAGGGCCAGAGACTGTGAGGAAAGGTGGAAGCCAAACACCTAGCAGGCCAAAGTTTGCCCATGTGTGGTGCAGAGTAATAAGGCAGAAATATCAACAGAGTGTGAGCTGCGTAGAATTGTCTTTGTGGGTTAGTATAGTTCATGTATCTATGTTAATATCAGTCGGCGGTTTGTGGGTGTGCTTGTCTTTGTTTGGTTGAGTAATGGATTGTACGTAGTCGCTAGCAAACAAAAAAGGCATCTCCTTGGAGGTTGCTTCAGTTCAGAGCAGGTCTGCCAGTCAGCCCATGGAAGGGAGGCTGGCGGCATCCTGTAACTGGCCAGGCAGCGATCCCAGTCCCAGGACACTGGTTTGGCCAGGACGGCCTTTCCAAGAAGGGGCTCCCCTCTCACATATCTCTCTCTGTTTTGGGTTGGATGCGCATGGACACGGATGGGAGGGAGGGCTTGACCTGAGCTCTTGTCGCGCCTCCGCTGTGTCCACACGCACGTCCTTGGGCCTTAACGGCTGGCCAGATGGTGAGTGTGTGTGAAGCACCACTTAAGTCCCTGACGAGTGTGGCGCCTGAACCTGCCTGGAAGTGCTCAGCAGTTCTGTCGCAGCTGTTCTCGGGGGGCCTGGCACTCCACTCCAGCTCCGAAGGTGCTCTCGGCGGCCCTGGGGCCATGCAGAGGAGTTCTGGCAGATGGCGGCCTGCGGGTGCCGCTTGCAAGGTGGCAAAAGGGCCCTTCCCACACCAGAGTCATGCCTGCCTGAATGCCTGCCTGCCCTGTGCTCCCGCCTGCCGGTGCGCTCTCCCTGCTCCTTCCTCGCTCGCTCGCTGACTCCCAGGTGGCTGTGTTGCCCGGAGCTCCCTCAAATGCCAAGGAGGGAAGCCCCCCCCCCATGAGAGCGGCGGCAGCAGTGGCGGCCTGTTGCCTCTTGTCATTCCCCCGTGAGATCAAGGCCTTGACAGGATCGTTGGCTCTATGAGCATCTGGCGCAGGTTTGCACAACGGTCTGACAGCACGCCACCCTAATAGGCCCTCGCCTCCGCAGGGCAAGAAGCGTTTCCTCCGTGCGCCTGGCCCCCCGCATCCCTCCCCTCCTCCTCCCTCCTCTTGCCCTCTTCTGCAGAGGCGGAGGGACAGGTCGCGCAGGGACTGCCACAGGTCTCTCCCTCTTGCCTGGCACAGGGCCCCCCAGGAGCCAGTCCCACCTGTGGCGGAGTGGGGTGCGGGCAGGGGGTCCTGTGGGGTGCAGCTCATGCACCGCTCCACTGCTGCTTTCCTGTTCTGGGCTGCTGCGGCCCGGAGAAGCCATTGCTGGGAGCCCTGCCTCCCTGCATCAGGACAGGTGTCACTTGCGGGCGGTGCCCTATTTGAGCCAATTTGGTGTGTTTGTGAAGGGGGGGGAGGCTGGGGAGAAAGAGGCAGAGACAACAGGAGGGGAGCAGGTGCCCTTTAGGAGGGTCTCCATATGCAGGAAGCAATGTGATGAGAGATTCATGTTGGCCTTCCATCCATGGCCTTGCAGCATGGCTGGAGCATGGACGCAAGTGGCGGGTGTGGGGGGGTGGGCAGCTGCTGCTGTTGGCCCTCAAGAAGCAGACCCCTCCTTGGCTCAGGGCTGCGGCAGAGTGAAGCCCCCGCCTGTCACCAGAGAGCTGGCATCCTTTCCTCTGCCCTTGTCCTTGCCTCCCAAGGAGACTCTTGGCAGCCTCTGGTCTTTTAGGAAAACAGGCTGGGTTGGGCAGGGCGCCTCTCCTGTC